TGAGAAGAAAGCTGCGTTTCACTTCATGATAAACTCTCGGTATCGTTTATCAAACCACCTTAAATTCACTGCTCAGCCTTGAAGCTGATAAGTGCATTAAGGCATTTAGTTTGCATAACCCAACAGGGTAAAAAATACGATATGGAAGTGTTTTTGTCGAATCAATGTTAATGTGATAATTCACTAATCTTGTCTGAACAAAACTTTATTTTATGTTTTTCGACATGCGCTTTGGTTAATCGATGGATTTAATGCTACTGTGCTTCTGCTGCGTATTTTTGATTTAATTTCTGATGGAACAGACAGTTAGAGGATTCGGTATTCTTTCTAGTCAGGATAAGGTGAAACTGCCAAAACACCATCGATGAGCCCCAAAACAAGTTTAGTGAAGGCAAAACAATATAGCGGACAGCCGAGTTTAGACAATATGATAAGAAAAAGAAGATAAGCTTTGAGATGTATCTCCTAAGGGAAAGGGGGGCTACAGCACATGAAATGGGAATGGCGGGTAGCTTACATATCAAAACACAATTTTTATGATCCTACTGGGCGGCTAGTTCTTTACAGCGCCTGGTTTCCCGCTTCATCTTATTGGGGTACTCAAAATTTCAGCTGAAGGTTACCTCCCGTCAATGCCATGCGATAAACTCATTTATTCTGCTCCTAGACGCTATCGGGTCCAGGCAACTCTTTACCAATGACGAAGCCGATGACACCGTTCTTAAAACATGTTCCTCACCTCACAGTGTAGGTGAGATGAAAGCGATATGCACTGGATATTCACTTCTAGCATCGGATACCTGCGTTGACTTCAAGGGCGAGTGACCGGATTTATTTGTGCATTTCAACAGTCTCGCGGATGTGAAATTATAATTTGTGTCCACACCGCTGCTGAAAAGAATACTTTTTTTTCAGCAGCGGTGTTTTTGTTTTTTAAGAAACAATTTTCCAATAATTTCGAAGTAGTGCTTGCGGTAAAAAAGATTTTCATCCAAAAATACAATAAGATAGGAAGGTATGCTGAAAAAACAGAAAACGTGGTACTTTAAATTTATTGCATCATCACTCAACAGAGTCAACAACTCTTTTAGATGAGATTGAATTAGCGAATCCAAAATAATAAGCTACCTTTTTACATATATAGAGAGGATGCATTTTCCCTCGGGGTATGTCGGTAAAAACGCTAAAGCTCTCGCTCCTCCTAGAAATGATTCTGACGTTCTAAATTTAGTTGTACTCTATTTCTGAAATTCAAGCTCAAAAAATTTGTTTTACTTCATGAATAATAAAAGTGCAGTCATCTAGTGAAACTCAGTAACGTTCTTTCCCTGAATATCCTGTACACTACGTCTTTTAGCTTGAAGCTGGATATAGACTGCGTGTTATTCTTGTGAAGATGTT